CCCCCCCCCCCGCCCGCCGCCCGCGAGGGCGAGACCGATGGCAATACACACCCTCGCGTCCATTTCCAATAGCAACCTTCCCCAGCCGTCAGCCTCAGGGCTCACGACCACACCCCTAGCCTTCCATCACGGGTACCCCAGACGCCGAAAACGTTCCGCTGCGGCGATAATGCCCGCCACACAGGGCTGCGGCGCCGGCGACAACAATAGTAGCTCTCTAGGCGGCGGCCACGGCGGGGGCGGCGCCAGCGGCGCCGCGCGGGGTTCCTCGGAAAGCCAGCAGCGGCCGCCAGATGTAGGAGGTGGTGCGTCGTCGAGCATGGAGGTCAACGGTGATGGCGGCGGCGGAGGCGGGGCGGGGGGCGGGGGGAGGGACAAGGACGGCGACGAGGAAGGTGACGACGACGCTGAAGCACCGTCTGCGGTGCGATGGAGCCGAGTACTGTCTAGCCCGGCCGTCGAGCAGCGGCAAGCCTCGGGAGACGGGGGGCCGGCGGCGGCGGGGGGTCCGGCAGACGGACGGAGACCGAGGAGCTGCACCTTCGTGGTCGAGGGCAGCGCGGACAACGTGTCGTCGGCAAAGGGCATCACGATGGGCGACGTCCACGGCGCGGTCCGCCCCAAGACGGGATCCGCAGATGTGGAAGAAACGGCGACGTCAACGGCGGCGCTGCCAACGGCGGTCGAGAACCTTTACACCTACACGGCGTTCGAGGAGGTCGTTACCTTGCAGCTCACCGGCGGGGACCCGGTGCCGTCGTTGGTGGACGCGAAGGACGACGGGGAGCGCAGGCTCCGCGCGACCTCCTCCGGGCTAACCGTCCTAAACCATCCTGCCGCGTCGTCCGCACCAGAGGCGTCGAACAAGCGAGTGAAGTCCGGCGTTTGGCCGATGGGCGGGGAGGCGGGTGCTTGGACGGCGGCGGCGGACAGCTCCTCCGCACCGGGACTGCAGCAGCAGCAGCAGCAGCAGCAACCTGGCAGCAAGACGACGCCGGTCGAAGCCCTGTCGTCCATGTCGATCGACGCCGGGGTTGGAGGTCCGGCCGCTGAGAGCGTCGTCGCCTCCGCGGCGGAGCCTGGCGTCGCAGACGGCGCGGCAGAAGCGGCGGCCACGGTGCCGGTGCCGGTGCCGGCAGAGGCGCCGGCGTTGACCAACGACGAGTGGATGGCGCGGATATCCCCGCTTGTCCCGTCCATCCCGGAGGGCACCCACCCGGAAGACTTCCTGCACGCCCTCCTCAGGGAGCGGGGCTACACGACCGAAATGGTAGCGATGAAGGAGACGGTGTACCACCGGCCGCCGGAGCCCGACCAGGTGGCGGCGTACGACAAGGCCATCCTCCGCGCCGTGCTCGACGAGGACGAGGCGGCGCTCGAGCGGATGCGGGTGGCCGGGCGGCGGATGGACGCATGCAACCGCTTCGGGGACAGCATCCTGCACATGGCGTGCCGCCGGGGCCGCGCCGCTGCCCTCCGCTTCCTGCTCCGCGCGGCCGGCTCCGCCGGCGTGGTGTCCAGCGATGACTTCGGGAGGACCGTGATGCACGACGCCTGCTGGACGTCCTCGCCGCGGTTTGACGTGGCCTCGGCCGTTCTCGACGCCGACACAAGGCTGCTGCGCACGCTGGACAGCCGCGGGTCCTCCCCTCTTCAGTACGTGCCGGAGGACCAGTGGCCCCTGTGGTGCGCCTTCTTCGAGAGCCGCAAGGAGGTCTACTGGCCAAAGCTGCCGCCCGGCGCGGAGGACGTGGCGGGGATCATTCCCGTCACGGAAGAAGTGTCGTAGCCGTGATTTTTTTTGTGGCGTGTTTGCGGGGAGGGGGGGTGGGGGG